GATTTGCACGAAGTACCATCTCACCCATTCAACATTGGTATGTCAATGCAAATGAAAGACCCATGTAACATATAGGTCACACCAACATCTTTTCTTCCCCTTTGGAGATGAAATGGAACTAAGAATAATTTCTATTTAACCAAATATGATATGAAAAGCATATATCAGAGGCATCGTTAAGTTATCAAATCAAGAAAGGAGAAAAAGCACTAGAGCAACTCAAACGTTCTATGTTTTCTATACCAGAATGACATGGAAAATTTTCAATTTATTGAGATAAATGTTGCAGCTCTCGTCAAATGGTCCTACTAAATTGGAAGAGTTGAAATGAATTAAGAAATGACGAATTAAGGATATCATCTGAATTCAGAGATAGTAGCACTAATGAGATAATCTTTTCTTCCGATATGTAAAGTTATAATGAAGTACTTTTTTTATTTTTTATGAAGTTAGAAGACTAATGAAGTGCCCATTGGACCAAACATTCATGGAAAAACAGATAATTTACGTTACTTCAGCCAAAATAGGATTCAGCAAATTCACCAAAGTAGAGCCGTAGCATTGGCTCATATTCTTAGCTTTCTTCAGAGTAATTCGTAGCTACCTTATCCAAATCCATCTAGTAAAGATATCTTTTAACAATATATATCTTTAAATAACTGTCTCAAAAATATCTTTTGAAAAGTCAGCGAATCAAATGGCATCCAAAAATTGCCACAATTACCTATCCTTTCATCCAATACACAGAGCCACCTACCTTGCCTCTACATGAAAGGGTGAAGTACCCAAACTAACACATCAATTGATATATTTAGTGTTTAGTAATAAGAGTACTAGCAGCTGCAGGGATATATAAAAAGTTAACAGTTCGTTATAAACAATTTCCAGTGAAGGATCTCAACAAGATCAAAGCATTCATAATTAGCACAGAGGAAAGATGACTTCTAATAATTCAGATTGCAAAGTGCGTCCCCTATGTTAAGGCACAAGGACATTGAATTGGACCTTGGAGAGGAAGTTGGATATTATCAAATCTGACATCCTTGGCCATGTTAATCTTCCAAAGCAAATCATCCATGTACAATTTCCAAAGCACAAGGATTTACTAATAAACTTGACGATATCAACAAGAACAGAGTACATGCTTCCACCATCCATACTGTCAACCTGCATGTTGAGACAGGAACTGGGTTATTATGAATTTTACTAATTAAAAACTTAGTACCAATTAGAGTCCTCTTTTATGTCAAAGCATAAGGGGGTGGATTTGTTTGTTTTCATTTTATAGGTAAAGCAAATTGGATTCTTCAACTTATAGAACAAAAATTAACGCAATAAACCCAAAAACAGGTTAAAAGGTAGTTTGAAGAACTCACAATCATGTCCAAGTAAGTGGATTATGTTGTCCAGACAAAAAAAATGTAACTTTTGAAAAAATATTCAGTTCTTCTCAGAATGTCAAAGAAATTGAGCTCTCTCAATACAAAACATGTTTGTTCAAATTGAACTGATGCTTTTGCAGAAACAGACATGTATAACTAGCCAAGAGGAAGAACTGCGGTATCGACATCAAACATTACATTTGGGTCAGCAGATGGAAGTATCTTCAGATTTGCCTCAGCACCATTCCGAGACTCCTGATTAGTCTCTTCCACCACAATAGTTGATCTAAAACTCACCACTGGCGCAATTACATGTTTAATCATCAAATCTGCTACTTTCGACAGCCCGTAATCCATAATACCAACTGCCTAAAAACGAAAAAATAAGATAAAAAGTTAATCACATTTGCTCTAAGATTTACCAGAAATATTAATATATTCCAGAGTCACCCTCAGATAAAGTGAAAAGGGAGAGGCATAGTTCAAACTCACATCCATCGCTTTTAAAACTGTTTGGAGCTCAATCCCATCAATGCCTTTGATGTTCGACTGATGCTTCAGGTGAACTGTATAGTTTTCTTGCTCAAACCACACTGCATTGTCCATACATCGCAAAAGCACCTCTTGCATCTACACACCCAAATCCAATTCCTCTAAACAAGAATCACAGAAACTAAATAAAGATCACCAGTATATCATCTTCTGTCAACCCCCGCCCCACAACAAACCCCCAAAACACGTAATTACAAAACAAACACAGGAAACACACAGACATACACATTACCCAAAAAAAAAAATTGATTAGTGACATTACAAAAAAAGACTTCAGCAATGTCTTGGCTAGTTTTCTTCACAAATATAGCTCATTAACAAACTCATTGCGAAAGCGGGGAAAAAGAGAGCAGCAAGACTGATCTGGAAACGGACAAATTTAAAGCAGTTTCCTTGCTGCCACATCTAGATGTTACAAGAAACAGAAAATACAACTGCACCAGACACAGAGAAGATCTGACAAGCTGCTTATATTTTTTATAAGGCTGATAAACTGCTTATATATCATCAATCAACTCTGCCTCAATGCCAAACTACGTGGTGTCGGCTATAAGAATCCTTCGGAACACTTCCTACCTATTCAGAACTATTTCAAAATTAAAAATCGAAATCACTCTCCTTACTGGCACAGCTAGAACTACGCATCAATCCCATAGAAATTGCTACTTCAAAATGAAAAGACTAACCTTTAATACATCTCAATAATTTAATCGATAAACTAGCTTCACTTCACAAACTAGTTAGTCACTCTCTCTATTCAGGCCCATTTCTTTCCAATGTATCTCCATACGGACATCAAAATCCCTACTCCAGAATAAAAAGAATACTTTTTTATAATAATTGTCTCAATATATTTTCAGTAAAAAGACTTCATTTATTATCTGTCTCAACATATTTTCAGTAAAAAGCCCAAATATTCCGCCAAACACCTTATAACAATAACAATGACGCTCACAAATGAGCCTCAATCCCAAAATAATTGTTTAGCTATAAGAATCACCAATTTCTAACACCAAAGCTTAAAATTTTTCACAAAAAACATAACAGAGAAAAGAATTTAAGCAAATTAATTTCCTTTAATCCTCTAAACAACCAAACAATCATACACAAAAACAATATCCAAATATTACCTCCTCAAAACACTTAGTCCACTCATCCTTTAACAATCCGTAAACCAAAGGCTGCCTCTCCTCAAACGCCGTCGTTTCATTACTACTCGTTACCAACACTGCCTTTAACTCCCTTAACGCTTCTGCCGCTTGCTCAACTCTCCCTACCTTAATCTCCTCCTTCACAAACCTGAGTTTATCACTCAATTCCAATACCACAGCAAGTAAGCCTAACAATTCCCTCTTTTCCTTCAACTCTCTGTTTCTTATCACAATGTCATCAATTACGGCTTTGGTTTCTACTTCAACTGGATGATCCGAGATGAGCTGGATCAAATTGGATACTTCAGAAGAAAGATGTTCGGATCTCGAAACGACGTCGGAGCACTGGGAGAAGAGTGTGGAGAAATCGGAGTAATGTGAGAGAATGTATTGCCGGACTTTGGATTTTATATCGACGGAACGAACTTGTAGACGATTGATGAGAAGACGGAGATCCGGGGCGGATAACGGCGAAGTTACATCGTCGATGTTTGGTGATGAGAGTAGATCGCGAACGTTGATTGAATTGAACAGGACATCCATGGCTCGCCGGGAAACCCCTGTCTCTTCCTCTCTACAATGTAGAGTGATCTGTAAATGTGACCCGTCCAACCGGTGTCGGGTTTCTTCCGTTTTTCTTTTTATAACCTATAACCTATGTAGTTTGGAAAAGGGGCAGATATGCCCTCTACTTCATTTATAGTTCAATCATGCCCCTCATTATATTTTCCATTTAGACAACACTCACAGCTTTCCACTCATTAGTGGTTCCCTTCTTCAAACGCTCCGTTAATCCCATCCCCAACGGGCAAAAGTCAGACCACCCCATTCCACGCCGGCGACACCCCCCTCACGCCACCGACCACCCATACCAGCGGGTAAGCCCTCACATCTCTCACGCCTCCCTTTCTTCTGAAGCTTAGAAGCTCTCGTCCGACCACTGCCTCCAGTGAATTCAACTGGAAATTTTCTCGTCGATCTTTTCTTTTCGTCCTCTAAAGGTTAGATCTGTTCGATTCTTGAAAACTTGGTGAAGTGTCAGTGTTCGGTTCAATTTCGATTAAGCAGGTGACTGCAGGCGTCACGGTTATTTGTGGTGTTGCAAACTGTTCTCTGCTTTTTCCCTACATTTCCCCTACTACTGTCAGGGCTACACCAGTGGTAGCGGTGATATCTCTTTTTGGTTTTTGGGTCGTGGTATTTTCTGTGTGTTTCAGGGAAATTCATGAAGTTGTTGGAGACAAGTTGGGCGCACGAGCACTAGCAAAGGAGAGCAACCTGGACGAGCGTCAGCAAAGGGCGGTGGGAAGCGGTGCGTGAGCGTACAACTATATCGAGCACAGCAAATCAACACAGGTTTGGTTCTCGGGAGTTGGTACCTCACGTTCTACTGTTTCCCTTTTGGTGTTAACTAAATTGATGTTACTTTAGTTCACAATAGTTCAATCTTTCAACTGGTGTACTAGTAGTCACTTGTTTCCTTCTAGTTTGATTCGTTGTCCGTTGTGCACTAGCGAGTCTTCTTTAGATTGTCGTAGGTGTAGTGGTTGTAGTCTGGGATGATAGATTAAGGACATGTCCTCGGGTGGGGCAGAGTATGGGGCCAGGGTCAGGGGGTGGGACGGGAGGCAGGGGAGGTAGAGGGGGCAAGGGAGCCTATAGTTTGAGAATCGGGTCATGAAACATAGGTTCACTAACGAGTAAGTCTATAGAGTTGGCGAAAATCCTTCAGAAGAGGAAGATTAATATAGCGTGTGTCCAGGAGACTATGTGGGTCGGATCGAGGGCGAGAAATGTGGATGGGTATAAGTTGTGGTACTCTGGAGTCCTGAGGGGTAAGAATGGAGTGGGTATCCTGGTAGATAGTCATCTTAGAGAGTCGGTGGTAGAGGTCAGGCGGGTGAATGATAGATTAATGACTATTAAACTGGTGGTGGGTGAGTGTACTTTAAATGTCGTTAGCGCGTACGCGCCGCAAGCAAGCTTGGATGAGAAGATTAAAAGGTGCTTTTGGGAGGGGTTGGATGACATCGTTCGTAATATTCCTCCTTCCGAGAGTTTATTCATAGGAGGAGATTTCAATGGTCATATTGGGTCGTCTACAGGTGGTTATACTAAGGTGCATGGCGGCTTTAGTTTTGGAGAGCGGAACGGAGGGGGCACTTCGCTGTTGGACTTTTCCAAGGCATTCGATCTAGTGATTGCGAACTCAAGTTTTCCGAAGTGGGAGGAGCATTTGGTTACTTACCACAGTTCGGTGGCGAAGACTCAGATTGACTATCTCCTCCTTAGGAGATGCGACAGAAGGTGGTGCGAGGATTGCAAGGTTATCCCAGGTGAACCCTTACAACGCAACATAGGCTTTTGGTGATGGACATTGGTAGTATGATAAAGAGGAAGAAGAGGTCAGTACGAGGCCACCCAAGGATTAGGTGGGGCGCCTTGACTAAGGATAAAGCTCATGAGTTGGAAGGAAGGCTATCGGCAATGGGAACTTGGAGAAGTAGTGGGGACGCAAACACTATATGGTCGACGACGGCAGACTGTATAAGGAAGGCGACGAGAGAGGTGTTAGGGATATCTTCGGGCCGCACCGGTGGCCATAAAGGAGACTAGTGATGGAATGCAGTTGTCCAAGGTAAAGTAGAAGCAAAGAAGACGGCTTACCTGCAGTTAGTAGGGAGCACTAGCGAGGAGGAGAAGAGAGCGAATAGTGAGAGGTATAATAGCTAGGAAGGAGGCGAAGATGGCAGTAACGGAGGCTAAGACGGCAGCTTTTGCTCGTTTGTATGAGGAACTAGGGAACAAAGGCAGGGAGAAGAAGTTATTCCGACTCGCTAAGGTGAGAGAGAGATGATGGCTCGGGATCTGGACCAAGTGAGGTGCATAAAAGATGATGACGACACAGTTTTGATGGGGGATGACCAGATTAAGAGGAGATGACAGACCTACTTTTATAAATTTCTAAATGAAGAAGGGGATCAGGATATTGTACTAGGTGAATTGAAGAATGCCGACAGTCCTCATGAATTAAGTTATTGTAGGGACACTGTGGTCGATGAGGTCATGGAGGCAATGCGTAAGATGAGAAAGGGCAGAGATACCAGGTCAGACGAAATTCCGGTTGAACTTTGGAGGTGTGTGGGTAGAGCAGGCTTGGAATGACTTACTGGGTTGTTTAATGTTATATTCAGGACTAATAGGATGCCTGAAGAGTAGAGGTGGAGTACAATGGTTCCATTGTATAAGAACAAAGGCGATATCCAGAGCTGTAACAACTATAGGGGTATCAAATTACTAAGTCATACCATGAAAGTCCGGGAGAGAGTGGTAGAAATGAGAGTGCGAAGGACGGTGTCTATTTCAGACAACTAGTTCGGGTTCATGCTGGGACGATCTACCACAGAAGTTATCCACCTTATTAGGAGGATGGTGGAACAATACAGGGATAAGAAAAAGGATCTCCACATGGTGTTTATTGATCCAGAGAAAGCGTACGACAGGGTTCCTAGGGAGGTCTTATGGAGCCGCTTAGAGGTTAAAGGGGTCTCAGTTGCCTACATTAGGGTGATAAAAGACATGTATGATGGAGCTAAGACTCAGGTTAGGACAGTAGGAGGCGACTCCAAGCATTTTCCGGTTGTTACAGGGTTGCACCAAGGGTCTGCGTTCAGCCCTTTCCTATTTGCCCTGGTGATGGATGCACTAACTCATCATATTCAAGGGGAGGTGCCATGGTGCATGCTATTTGCTGATGATATAGTTCTAATTGACGAGACACGAGGCGGAGTCAATGAGAGGCTAGAGGTTTGGAGACATGCCCTTGAGTCTAAAGGTTTCAGTTTGAGTAGGACGAAGACGGAATACCTCGAGTGCAAATTTGGGGCCGAGCCGACGGAAGCGGGAGTGGAAGTGAGATTTGATTCTCATGTTATTTCTAAGAGGGGTAGTTTCAAGTACCTTGGGTCAGCTATTCAGGGGATCGGGAAGATGGACGAGGATGTCACACACCATATAGGGATGGGGGTGGATGAAGTGGAGGTTAGCGTTGGGAGTCCTGTGTGACAAGAAAGTGTCACCGTTACTAAAAGGAAAATTTTATAGAGCAGTGGTTAGGCCTGCCTGTTGTATGGGACCGAGTGCTAGCCGGTTAAGAACTTACACATCCAGAATATGAAAGTAGCTGAGATGGGGATGTTGAGGTGGATGTGCGGGTATACAATGATGGATAAGATTAGGAATGAAGATATTCGAGAGAAGGTGGGCGTCGCCCTCATGGAGGACAAGATGCGGGAAGCAAGACTCAGATGGTTCGGGCACATTCAGAGGAGGAGCACTGATGCACCGGTGAGGTGGTTTGAGCGACTGGATGTGGTGGGCACGATGAGAGGTAGAGGGAGACCTAAGAAGTATTGGGGAGAGGTGATCAGGCAGGACATGGCGCAACTTAGGATTACTGAGGACATGGCCCTTGACAGAGAATTGTGGAGGTCGAGCATTAAGGTTGTAGGTTAGGGGGAAGTTGTGAATATTTCTACAGCGCACTAGAGTGAGACTAGCCAGTTATGAGTTAGTCTTAGGATGCTACTAGTCAGCTAGTGATGCAGGGTTTTATCTGCTGGATATTATTATACCTTCCATCTTTTTCGTATTTCTTATATTTCTTATATTGCTGCTATTTTGTTATTTTATGTTATGTTATGTTATTTTATTATGAGTCTATTGATAGTACTAATATATCGTCTCTTGTTGCTTTCTTGAGTCGAGGGTCTCCTGGAAACAGCCTCTCTGCCCCTCGGGGTAGGGGTAAGGTCTGCGTACATATTACCCTCCCCAGACCCCACTTGTGGGATTATACTGGGTCCTTGTTGTTGTTGTTGTATAATATCCCTGCCATCCATCAAAGTTATATATTTGCCCCTATTTTAATGGCCAAGACACGTGGTGTCTTCTAAAAGACTAAGAGCCTGTTTGGCCAAGCTTCTGGGAGGCCAAAAGTATTTTTTTTCTTCAAAAAAGTACTTTATAAAATTTTTAAATTGTTTGGCCAAGATAAAAAAGTACTTTTGGCCAACAGCAGAAGCAGTTTTTCTACTTTTAGGAAGAAGCAGAAAATTCTAGATTCTTCCAAGAAGCAGAAGCAGAAAATTAATTTATTTTAAACAAAACTATCCTCACCTTAAAATTTATACTTTTCAAATTATCCCTTACTAATTTAAGTTTTTTTTTTCATATTTGTTTCTGATTTTTATCATTCTCTTAAATTTAAAGATATCATATACATGAATCATATTGAAACTTTCCAAATTATTTATTGACTTTTCTTGTTTTTTCTTTTTTCTTTTTTGGTGTAATGTCTTGTAACTTTTCAAATTATCTTCTTCTTTCTTCACACTTAAGCAAATTATCTACCTCCTTCTTTAGATTATTAATTCTCTTCCTACAAATAATTATTTATAATTTCTTATGTTATAGGCTATTATTTCTCGAATCTTTAAAACAGTTATCGAATCTAATTTGTGAAAATTACCTACAAATAGGTAATAAATTTACAATTTCATCGCATAATCTATTTATATATTATTAAAAGATGAAGAAAAAGCATACACATTAAGCCAAGTGGCAGTCTCACAATAGGCCGCCAGACAATTTACGACAAAGTTGGTTAGGTTAGGTAATAATTAGTTTCTAATTTAAATTTTAAAAAAAATTAAATTATACATTATGTGTTGCTAATAATTAGTTACTCTTTAAAATTATTTTTATTTTATGCTCAATGCCATATTTCAAGTTTGTCATTCAGAATCATCTAGTTATAACTACCATGACTATACATAATTCCATCAGACGATATTCTTCTACCGATAAGGAATTCAACTATGATGCTAATGAAGATATTACTGCAAAAATTGAGGAAGGAGGCGAGTCTTTTGATATTCCTTTAGAAATGCAAGGCAAGTCTACTGCTAATATAGAGGCATTGTGTGATAGAAGCAGAGATGAAATTGTTGGAAAATATTATCATGTGTGAGTGACTTTACTTATTATTTCATGGTAGATTATAAGTATATAGTAATTTGTGGAATAGACTTCTAATTCATGCGAAATGATGTATTTTGATTATTCAAATCATTGTGTAACAATAAGTAATTATACTAGATAATATTATATACTTTGGTATAACTATATATGTAAAAATGAGTTAAATCTTTATTATGTTTGTTTACTTTATATTTTATATTTTAATTAAATAAAATAAAAAATAATAAAAGTCTCTTACAATAAATATTTAAGTTTATTTTTCTCTTTAAAATAATTATAAGACCTTGGTACTATCCTTTTTGGTAATTTGACACTCAAAGCACGTTTTAGAAAGATTGGCCAAACACAATTTGTTTATCAAATATTGCAAAAAGTAATTCTTAAATGAATTGGCCGAACATAAACTGTTTTTTTTTCAAAAGTACTTCCGGAAAAAGTACTTCTGAAAAAAATACTTTTGAAAATAAGCAGATTTTGCTAGCTCGGCGAAACGGGTTCTAAACCAACCCAACATTAAAGAAACCCCTTTTTACTCTTTCTAAAAACAAAACCCCCGTAAAACTAAATAATCAAACGCACTCATCTTTAATATTCAGTAAGTGAAAAAAATTTCCAGCTAGGATTTTTTGGCGGTGATAAAATTATCGATTAAAGGCTTGCAGTTACAAAGGTGCTTTCTTTCTTCAAAAAATTATTGATCAAGTTTAGTCTAGTTGTATTTTATCGAATTTTGTTGGAGAATGTGCATATCTATTTCTTGATTCGAACTAGGATTCTGTGGCTCTTAGGGGTGGGCATAATATTCGAAAAAATAAATTTTAAATCAGACCAAACTAATTTGGTATTTTGGTATCGGTTTATTCGGTATTTCAATATTATTCGGTAAAGTTTTTTGGTATTTCAGTATTTTGGTACGGTACTTTGCATTGAGTTTACGATATTTTGATATATCGAAATATTTAAATGCTACACTAACCACTGTTGGCAGCCCACCTCTAATTCTATTTTCCAGCCCAACACTTACACCCCAACTGCCCAACTTCCTAAGCCCCAACCTAGTATCCGTTCCTTTTCCCTAATTTCCTTAGTCCTTTCCCTTATTTTTCTAACCTTAGGTTTCTCTCAAAAAGCAACAAACCAACATCGGCAAATCTACAATTCATGACTACAGACTACCGACTGTGCGAGTGCATGTGAACTTCGGGAGTGAGTGTTTTCTTTCTCCGATCTGCTCCCAGACGATTCCAGGTTAACAAACCATTTCAGATTTTCTCCAATGTACTTAGCTTTTCAGATTTTCTCCGATAAAGTTGTCTTTTTTATGTAGTACGTTAATTCATTATATAGTAATTCATCCTTAATTAAAACACAAAAATTAAGTTGTTAGAATCCGACGATTAGTTTTCATGCATATATATTTTTTTTTCATTTCCTTTTTTCTGCTATGTTTGGGCTTATCATCAACCAATGGTAGCTTAAGTTCTTCTTCATTGACTTCAATCTATATGATATTTTAGATGGTACAAAGTAATATTGTTAGTAAAAATATACCTTAGGATAAGATTACAGCTGTGTTTTTAATTAGATTTTTGATATTTTAACTGCACTTTTTTGTGAAAGAGAAGAATATGTGAACTGAAGTTCTCAAATGAGAGAACTATTCATAATTAAATGTTAAACAAAGTTATAGTCTTACTATTGATAAATTTCTTTGTTTCTCACCCACTCTTTCATAGTTCACCAGTACTTTACTTGTTAAACTAAAGTTGTGTTTAGTTTTGTTTTCTTGTTACAACTGCGTATAATTCTCTTGCTGACCTAACATACCGATTCATTAAGTTACCAAATGATGCAAGAAAAAAACCTATTAAATTATTATGCTAATATAATAATAATTACTTCAATTTGGAAATGTGTTGATGGTTTACAAAGTTTAAAGTAGTTTAAAAGTTTGTACTGGTATTAAACTGCTCAATTTGTGTTTGTATCTATTATAATTTTGTATAGATGGCGGATGAAAGTAGAGTAAGTGATGATGGTTCAACTGAAAGCTTACCTTTTTCTTAAGATAGAAATGCCAACACAAGTGATACTCAAGATTCTAAGAAAAGAAGAGCATAGAAACTAGATTCATTGTTTGGAATCATTTTGACAAATTTGAGGAAAATGCGATTAGTAAAACGAGGTGTAGATATTGCAAGTAATCTTATGCTGATAATTTATCTAGGAATGCAACAACAAGATTGAGAAAGTATTTGACTAGATGTAAAGAATACCGACCTAACATTGATAAAGATAATACTCATGTCACGACCCAAAACCAACCGTCGTGACGGCGCCTATCGTGGAACTAGGCAAGTCAACTACTTAACCATTTCAACATAACAAAAGCTTTGAAAAATACGGAAGCAGTTAATATTTATGGAAAACGTTATAAAAGCAGAATAAAACTCGCAACTCAATACAAAATCTCTCCCAAAATTGGGATGTCACCGAGTACATGAGCATCTATACAGGGATATAGTCTACTACATCATCTAAGGAATAAGAACTAAAATATAAGTAAAGATAATGAAGGAGAGTCAAGGTCTGCGAATGCCATGCAGCTACCTCGATAGTCTCCAAAGATCCTGACTCCACACTCACCAGCCGCCGTGACCGGAAGCACCTGGATCTGCATACGAGGTGTATGGTGTAGCGTGAGTACAACCAACTCAATAAGTAATAAATCCAACCTCTGGACTAAAAGTAGTGACGAACGCAACTGGTACAGTTCAATGTAGAAATAACATTGTAGGAACGTAGGCATGATTTCAAGTTCAACAGTTAAACTCAATATAGTTAGATAGATCAAATCTGAATAGATGAAGAATATAACTCCTCTACTTTAACATGCCGATGCACATGTTGTATGTGATGCACCATGCTGACAGCCTCATATGCTCACACTCTCAAATGTTCAATCACTCAGTACTGTATATGACCAATCTGGCCCAAGGAAGATCCATCCCGGAATATATACATCAACTGACCATCAGTCACTCAGTACTGAGTAGGGCCAATCCAACCCGTGGGGAACATCCATCCCTAGGTATATAAATCCTTCGGACAAGATCCATGTCCAAGGAAGATCCATCCCTCAATATAATCAAACGCTCTTAGTGGGGGCATGAACAGACTCCGGAGGGACTCCTTCAACCTAAG